AAAACACATTGTGTTTGAATGGGGCCAATTTAGCAAGTGGTCCAGTCCACTCTCTGTGATGACAGCCCTGACCTTCTCATGATTCATCACTCAGCCTTTGTGTCATATACATGTTTTATCAGTTATTATATATTAACTTCCAGATCATTGATGAAAATGTTGAATGACACCAATCCCAGCAGAATCTTTCTATGAACACCCCATTTTGATGATTATTTACCATTGACAACTGGGGTTTTTTTTGTTTTTTTTTTAAGATCTTTTAGCTGGCTCTTATTGATATTATATAGTACTGTTTTTAATCAGAGTGTTGAGTGATACGAAGTCAATATGCCTTTCTAAATTCTTGAATGTATTACAGATAAAGTTACCTTTGATAACCAAACTTGTAATCTCAAAAGTGAATGAAATCTGGTTGTTTGTCCAGACATATGTTGGGAAACTAATACAGCAGGGCACAGACTATCCAATAAGTTCTTGGACTGCATTGAAGACAACTTTTTATTTCAGAAGGTTGAAAAAGCTACTTGGGGGAAGCTGTTCTAGATCTGATTTTAACAAATAGGGAGGAACTAGCTGAAAATTTGAAAGTGGAAGGCAGCTCGGGTGAAAGTCGTCATGAAATCATTGAGTCCATGATTCTAAGGAATAGTAGAAGGGTGAACAGCAAAATAGAGACAATGGATTTCAGGAAGGCAGATTTTAGTAAATTCAGCTGGTAGGTAAAATCCCATGGGAAGCAAGACTAAGAGGAAAAACAACTGAAGAGAGTTAGCAGCTTTTTAAAGGGACATTGTAAAGGGCTCAAAAGCAAACTATTTTGCTGATTAGGAAAGATAGAAAGTATGGCCAAAGACCACCTTGTCTTAACCAGGAGATCTTGTATGATCTAAAAATAAAAAGGAGTCATCTAAGAAGTGGAAACTAGGACAAATGACAAAGGATGAATATAAGCAAACAATATAGCTATGCAGGGGCAAGATTAGAAAGGCAAAGGCACAAAACGAGCTCAAATTAGCTACAGACATAAAGGGTAACGAGGACTTTCTATAAATAAATTAGAAGCAAGAAGAAGAAGCAAGAGCTGCATTGCGCATGCGTGCACTGCCGGTAAATGGGGCACCGGGCTGAAATCTACTCGCCATGGACAAGTAGGTTCAATAGTTTGTCGAGCCATGGCGATTACATTTCTTCTATCCTTTTAATTTTTTATCAGTTGAATCCCGTTTCAGCTTTGAACTATTTTGCCTGAGTTTAATGTCAGGTTAACCAGCCCTGGGCTGACCCGTTTGTCTTTTTAAATATCAGCATATGACTTCTTCTGGATTTATGGAATTTCCCTGTTATTTCAGGATGTATTGTAGAATATCATGAGCAGGCCAGAGATTTCATCCGAGTTTTCTACATCTCTTAGGTGCGAATTGCCACAATCAGCCAATACAAAAATGTTTAGCCATTATAGATATTATTTAACAACCTCAGTTAGTAATGGACTAGAAAATTATTCATCATCTTTGTGATAAGCAGGGCTCGACAAACAATGTGGCGAGTAGATTACACCCCGGAAGAGCCGGTGCAGAGCAATCTGCGCATGCTCAGAACCGCGCGGCTGGCGAGCAGGGCTCGCTGCCACTCGGCGAGTCCTGGTGATAAGAGTATATTGTCCTGATTTTTTCCAAATGGAGAACAGAAATTTTGATAACAATGCAAAAAAGGCAGAAACTAACAGTTTTAACATCTCCCTCTAGTTGGGGGCCTATATCATATTATTTATTTTTTTGTTCTTAATATACCAAAAATCTTCTTTTCCTTAGCACTACCAGCCACAGATTTATTTATTTTTCTATCTTGTTAGGTCAAAGTTATGGATTTTATGAAAGAAAATAATTCTCATATTGATCCTAAAAATGAACATGGTAAGTATAAATTGTATGCATTTTTAAAGCTGTAATTTAAAATGGATCTTTAAATATGTTTTTGAAAATTCTGAAATATATAGACAATACAGAATTTAGTTTGTGCAACGACAGTTTTAAATACTTATTGCTGGGAATTGGAATTAATGAATATAGTATGCTGATAGTAATATGCACAGATCCACCAACATGAAAATCCTGCCGTGAAACTTCCCTCCCTTTTCAAAGCTCCAGGAAGTATCTGACAGCTCAGTGAGTTTCTCCATTTGGGAAACAAACAAAGCAAATCACTGGAATGTTCCTGTTCTGCCCTGCACTAGGAACACAGCAGTTGGCATATTGCTGCTGTGTGGGGCGATGGGGGAGGGAAGCAAAGCAGTGTTTGAGGAGAGACTGCTTTCCTGCTTTGGCATTCCTTAACATGGAGAGCTCACAACAGCTAAGGAGGCTGTGGAAGAACTCAGAGGGAATTCCAAGATGTACAGGGGTCGACTCTGGCCCCCACAACACTGACTGGGATACATATCCACAGTGAATTGCTCACATTGTGCCCCCTCAGTGTGGAGTTGATCTTTCGACAGGGAGCAAGTGTGAACACCCTTTGGCAATTTTTTTGGGTCAACTTTTGAGTGTTAATCTAGGTTTTATTGACAATACTTGGGTAGATTTAGCCTTAGTCTTTACACTTGAGCATTCTTTGGGATTTGGTCAAAGTCTTTTCAGGCTCCCAGGTCACTTTTCTTCCAGCTCAACCTTCTTTTCCTGGTTAATATGTATTTTTTCCTCTGACTCTTGCAGCAAGCTCACATCAACTTGTGTTGCTCACAGAGTCAAAAGGTTTTTTTCTAGCTCAGAAAACGTGTCCCAGCATGAACTGCTCAGCCTCATATTTTTTAAAAGCCTGCTTTAACATCTCTGTTTTTCTGTTCTGCTGGGGAATTCCCTCGGCTACAGGCCACCTGAAATAACCGGATTTTTACAGCCCAAGCACTCTCTTTAGCATTCCCATTGTCCTTTATAGGGGAGAATCCTTCCAGCAGAGTGTGGTGTATATAAGACAATGTCCTTTGCAGTCAATGGCTCATTTAATGCATACGAGAGTTAGAATTATACATGGAATTAATAAAATCAAATAAAATAACGTGTTTACTTTTGCTGCAAAAGCAAATATCATTCATTGACGAAGCTGTAGAATTCACTCAGATATCTTATTTAGAATATTTCCTACCATCTTAATATAATCACATAATTCTACCCTAAAGGTGAGAGGTAATTTTGATCAGGAATATTGTACACTTAATTTACTAATTTTAATTTTGGTCCTTTGTTGTGTTTTTAATGTAAAAAATGTTGTTTGTTTTAGAATCCAGAGGAAACCTTGAAAGAGAAAATCTGAAGCAAGAGAAAAGACTGGAAGAATCACTTGAAAAAACATCCCTCCCATTTATAAGATCTCGGAATAGAAACATTAAAAATGAACAAGAATTACAAGGAAACTTTGAAAAAGCATGTATTTCACCTAAGGAGTTAGAAATTGTGAAAAATATAGACAGTATTGAAAAAGAAAAAATGAGCGATGGCTCCATCACAGAGAGTCATAATCTCTTAAACTCAGTAATCTCGCTTACCAAAACAGATCCAGTTCAAGAACCTGCTATGCAACTGCAAAAAGAATTAAAGCAATATTTGAAAGGTAGTGATTATGAAGAATTCCTTTTTAAAAATCCAGTTGCCCCACAATTAAATCTTATCCAGGAATCTATTGATTTGTCCTCTAAAGACAAAACATCAACAAGGGTAAAGCAGCAGAAAATAGAAATAAAAGAGTGTCCCTCTTCATATTTAAGAGAATGCGAAGAAAATCTAAAGGAAAATGTAAGTTTATTAGAATTGCCTGTTCTGATGAAAGAGAGCATTGAAGAACAGAAGGAAGAGATTGTTGCCTTCACTTCTGTAGTTAAAAATCTAGAAAGAAAAGAGAGTAATAGTCCATGTATGGAAGAAGACATTTCAAAAATTCATGTTCTCCAACAACTTGACAAAAATGATGCTGTTCCATCAGTAGAAATAAACAGAGCTTTGCATAGCTCCAGATGGAGTAAAAGCAATCTTGGATCTTGTAATGAAGATTCCTTAATGCCAAAAACAGAAACTACAACTATGAAACAGAATTTGCAGACTATAGAGCAATCTGTCACAAGCCGTATTTTAATAATGGAAAATGATCAAAGTATAAAGATAGCAAATGTGTCTAATATCAATAAAAATGTAATAGGGCTTGTGCCCCCTGAAGATAAATCTGATCAAGGCAGTGTAGAAAATAGTGAAAAGGTGGCTCTGTCAATTAGAAAGCGATCTAGAAGGGATAACAAATTAGAAATAGTAGAATCATTAGTTCCAGCTAAAAGAACCAGAAGAGGAAAAATTAAAGATAACACACAGATGTCTACAGAAGACTATGATGCCAAAGAAAAATCCCGAAGACCGGCAACAAGGAACCATTGCAGAGCAGAAACAGCAAAGTGTATACAAACACATGAACAGGATTGTGCCAAGAGAATCATTGAAGCTGCTGCAGTAGAAGAATCTGAAATCAATAAGCTAACTCTTGAAATTATGATAACAGAGAAGAAAGGAAGAAAGCCTTTGAGAGTAAAATCTAGAAAGCAATTAGAGGAAACAAACAATGAAAATGCAGAGATGGGACCTGAAAATGTTAGAAATGTCCAGGAGACCAAGAAAACATCAAATGAAACTGTTTTTAAAACACATAACTCTATAAAAAATGAGACACAGGCAGCTCAGGGAAATAAGGAAGCAGAAGGAGGTCAAAGCTTAAAGGAGTCCTATTTTGAAAATACAAATGAAGCACCAATTAATGTTTATAGCTTGCAAATAAACACGAATTCAATAAAAAAACCTAATCAACTACATGAAAATAAGAGAGGTAAAAAAGATTTACTAGTCATTAATGAAGGTGAATTTGCCAAAAATGAAGAACTGGTACCACAAATTATATCCGAAATTGAACCAGAAACTATTTTTACAAAAGACACCTC